CAACACCATACAAAGAGCCTACACCGCCTGTGCGTCGGGACTGGCGGGCCCGCGGAGGCTCGGCCGCTTTTCGGTTCCATGCCGTACGTCCTGATGAGCCTACAACCGGCCTACTTGACATGAAAATGCTCTATGACTTCCTGTATAACTATGAATTAGCTGTCTCCTGCCCTGAGTTCATTGGCTCTCGTGTAGGTATTGGAGTCAAGGTCACGAGGCTTGGATTCTGTGTGTCTGGTTTGTTTTGCATTGTTCTCAAGGTTATTTGGTGCTTTTTTAAAACTTTATTTGTCTTTTCTCTTCGTCAGTCGGTCTGTGCATGTCTCCTTGTTCCGCTCTGTCTCTTCTCTTTTTCTCTCCCTCCCTCTCTCTCGCCTACCCCTCTCTCCCTACTCCTTCCCTTCCCTCTCTTCCCCTTCTCTCTCTCCTACTCCCTAGCCCCAATTCCCTCCTACCCCCCTCTCTCCTCTCTCTCTTGCTCTCTCTCTCTCTCTCTCTCTCTCTCTCTCTCTCTCTCTCTCTCTCTCTCTCTCTCTCTCTCTCTCTCTCTCTTCATCATAGTATCCTTCTCTCTCTCTCCATCACCAGCACCCTCATTCCCATTCTCTCATCCTCTTCCTCTTTCTTCCCCTTTCCTTATCCCTCTTTCTAAATCCTCCATCATGTAACTCTTTTGCATCGACCTTTGTTAGTGAATGTTTACGATTCTTTGTGCCAATAAAGGACAGCTCAACACGCTTACAATATAGCATTTTTTTTTTTTTTTTTTTTTTTTTTTTTTTTTTTTTTTTTTTTAGAAAGGTTTTTTTTTGCGCCAAGCAGACGGCGTCGATTAGCAGGTGTGGCTCCACGTTGGCGAAGGACCACTGGAAGAAGGAAAAGATAAGGCGAACGAGGAAAAGGGAAGTTTAAACGATTTAAAAAGACGGAGGATTTTTGTTGTTGTTGTGTTATATAGGAGGATTTTTGTTGTTGTTGTGATATAGGGACGGTCGGGATTAGCGATGGTTATTTGCGGTAGATTTTGGACTGTTTTTTTTCCGTTTTATTTATTTGTTTACCTATTTTCCTTTTTTTCTTTACTTTCCTTCCTGTCGTGCTTATTTCGCTCCTTTCTTTCTTTCTTTTATTAAAGATGGGTAGTGGCCACGGCCTAAGTAAGATTATCTAACAAGGCGAGAGAGAGAGAGAGAGAGAGAGAGAGAGGAGGAGAGGAGAGAGAGAGAGAGAGAGAGAGAGAGAGAGAGAGAGAAGAGAGAGACAGAGAGAGACAGGAGAGAGAAGAGAGAGAGAGAGAGAGAGAGAGAGACAGAGAGAGGGAGAGAGAGAGAGAGAGAGAG